CCCCTCCACTCCCCCCCTATGGAGACCTCCAGCCTCTCTCTACCTGTTGCAGGACGCTCTCCATTTTCAGGCTCAGCTGTGCGCTCCGCTCCGCGCTCTCCTGCAGCTCCCTGCCGCTGCTCTGTCGCACCTCCTCCACCACTTTCTGCAGATGAAAAGCAGCAAAACCCGCACCTCCTATGAGGGCCACGTAAAACAAAGTATTAACGAGGAGTCCCAGACAACTCCGTGTCTTTGGCCCCTGGGCTCCGGGCGAGGGGACCGCTCCGTTCTTTGCGCTTTTCTTCGGCGCATCCTCCTGGCTCGGCGCTGCGCTCTTCTCCACGGAGCCGCCGTTGTTCTTCTGTCTGTTCTTCGCAGTCATGTTCGGCTGGATGGTGATGGTGATGGTGTGTTACGGCTGTGGGAGTGTGTGTGCTGCCGCTGTTGCTTTTTGCAGTCGTGGATGGAGACTGGTTCCCAGTCCAGGCCCACTGACAGGAGCCGACAGCGTATCAGAGAGCGAGTCGTGTCTTTGCACCGCTGTGTGTGTGCTGAGGTATGCGGATGGGGGCCGTCCCACCGTCAACTCCTGCCCCGGTCCACTTACATGACACAACCCCACCAGGAAACAATGATTGAGAGCCTGAATCTAGACCCTCAGGCGGCTGATGTAGGCTACTGGTTTGTTTGGTTTTTTTGCACCAGAACCCAATGACCTCTTACATAGAACCAACTTCGGGATCGGTGGAAATGTTCGAGCTGATGTTTTGATTTAATGCAGTGCCACATGGTCATTAATGCTGCAACATTTCCAAAGGTGATGCAAACTTTCCGCGATTTTCTTTTGCTGTAAGTCACAGCCTATGGCAGAGGAGGGAGGGAGGGAGGGAGGAGGAGGTCCCTCCTTCTTTCTTCTCCTTCCCTATAGTTTGCTCCTCCTTTCTTTCATACGTGGCAGCCCCAGTCTCCACTGGCCTCCGGTCAGAATCTGCAGAAGCCCAGAGCAGCTAACAACACGGCCTTGTTTGGCCTGACGAGGAGGAACACCGTGTTCTTGTTATTTTAAAAAAAGTCACCTGGAAAAAGTCGAGGACTTATTTTAGTTCCATCCTTTGGATCCAGTGATATTTTTACACACCAAGGATTTCTCTTAGGTGACATCACCTGGTGCATGGCCACTGAAATATGATTAGTCCACCGCTTAAAATATCAAATAAAAAAGCCTATAATTAGCCTGACTAGAGTCGAATAGTCTTTACACAGCTTTAGTTACACAATGGAATTGTTACAGCATCATAAAGGTGATAATAAAAATAAACAATACAGCAAACAATATTGCACAGAAATAAAACTGAATAGCAGGACACAGTAATAAATAAAAACACAAATAAACAACATTTAGGTGTAGAAATATCACATGGCATCGTCTGGTGTGGTAGAAAAATGGGAGTTAAAAAAATCAATGAGTTCAAGTGCTTGACAGTTCACAGGTTCATCGTTTTTAAGCAGTTTGTTCAGCTCTTAATGTGGTAGAGAAGGTTTTGAGCAGTTTAATGCCTTAAGAATAATCAATGTCTGTGTGAGTAACACCTCGAAAACCCTGCAAGAATCTGGTCCTGCAGTTCATCCATCAACTGAAGCAGAAATATGTAAACAGACTGCAGCCAAAACATGTTTAGAATGTTCAAATAAGGACTGGACAAACACCAACTGTTTAAACCTGCAGTTTGTTGTTTCAAGTGAAACCCAATACTGTAAACACCATACTATATAAATTAGGTACTTAGGTAAAATCACATCTGTAGCAATGGGTCACTGCAACTGCCATCATACACTCCCAGTGAAAAAAAAATCTTGATTCAAGAGTTTATTTCTAACACTCTCAGTTATACAGTACATATAACAATACTGTGAAAGGTCACCCAAAGCCTTAATATTACTGTACCAAATGTGGTTACAGCTTGTTTTTTTTAATACAACCAACACCTTGTTCTTAAGAAGGTAGAAGGGAGGAGTACCCAAATACTACATACACTGTACTTTGTTCAGTTTATGAGTCATATATTGGCCCACACCTGAATGCATCATTGGAATGATATGGCATTGTAGTACTTTTGATTGAATAAAGGGCTTTAAACAGTACCAAGATCCATCCATCCATCCATTTTCATCCGCTTATCCGTTACCGGGTCGCGGGGGCAGCAGTCGCCACCCAAATCACATTGCACCGTACCTAAACCTTCCTGCGGGTGGTGAGTCCACTGGAAGGTACCAACCGCCCTAACCGGGATTCGAACTTGCCCAGGAGGTGAACCCTGGGGTTCCACACCAATGACAGAGACATTGCCTCTGGGCCAAAGCACCACCAGTACCAAGATCACAGACAAAATACAACTTTAAAGATAAAGATAAAAAGAACAGACAAATTACAACTTTAAAGATAAAGATAAAAAGAAGGAAATATAAAGAAAAGTTAAAGTTAACTCATAAAAAATAATTCCTGTACTTCAATGTCATAAAAAGCACAAAGAAGTCACGTTTGTTAACAATTTCCCCTGGTGTGGGATCAATGAAATTAAATCCAATTTAATCTTACCTAATACGTGTTTACTTACCTACTTCAACCGCTAGATGTCACTAAAAGAGTAGGTAATTGCGTCCTATGCCGATTACAGTGCAAACAAAAAGGTAAAAGTCAAACATAGCTACAGATAATGTGTACTGTACATTATATTAAAAAAATACAAATGTATTTATATAAGTTGCTGCATGTGAATCACGTTTACTGATTCAAGACACGCTTTTGTTCAACAACTGCTCCATGTAAATAATATGAAAACAACATTTACCGTCACGGCCACGAGAGTTGGTTTGTATGTAGTGATAGAAATTACGCCATAAAACATTATAGCATTGACAGAGTATCATAGAGTGGACCATAAAGTCCGTGGGCCGTAAAGCGTCAAATAAGTCATTAGAAAAGTGAAAGCTACATTTTTAAGTGTTTTTATCTAAAAATAACTTAGCTACTCAAAAAAGCCGATGCTAAATCTATTTAAATGTATTTGTAATAAATAAAATATTTAGGAAATCTTACATATAATATACTAGATATATTATAAGAGTATATAATAATTACAAATATTATAAGTTTAATAAAACTATATTATATACTATAATAAAAATTATATTAGCAAACAATATGACTTACGAAGAATGATTAAACAGTGGCTAACATAAAAAATATCAGCCCGCTAATGAACACAAGTTTTAATAAAGTAATCAAAAGTTAGCAAAAATAAACCAAAAAAGGAAGACATAAAAGTAAACCTCATATAACATGTAACATGTTGTAAACCTGTTTAACAGTAGAATGTCTTTTTAATAGCTTTGTATTTCAAACACTACACTAAATGCGCTCAACTGCGTCATCATACCTTTGTTCTGCTGCTTTGTTTTGACAGCTATGAAGTCATGGAGTTTCCGAGCAGACAATGAACGCATCATGACGCTGCTCTCTGACGCCGTGACAACAGACGCTGAGCCTCAGACTCGCTGCCCAGGTGTTCGGTTGCTGTGTGTGAACCAGCGCTACTGCTGCGCAGAACAGGAAAATTGACTTGAGCTTTTTCTACATGTAATAACCTGAAGTATTACCTGGAACCTAACTGTCACTCGGGCTACGTTGTGTGAAATGTCTCCTTTCCGCTTTCAGCTGCCTCCTCCTCCATCACCATCATCAGCAACAGCCGGAGAATGAGGCGGTTAAAATGAAGAGCCACTGGGGAAACACATTTTGACCCGTTTATCAGCAACCTACAGTGGGGACAGTTAGCTGTCAGGCTAACGGTTCAGACACCCGGCGACAGCTCGGATATTTATCTGGATTTGTGCGGCCATGGCGGGTCTCATCAAGAAACAGATCCTGAAGCATCTGTCCAGGTCGGTGGTCCTGAGCGGCGGTTATTAGCCCTAAGATACACTTAGCTCGTTAGCGCCACATCCCATAATGACATTTTCAACTCGTGTATGTGGTGTATTTTTATAGGACGTGGGGGAAGCCGTTCTGTTTTTGCGATTCTCAAATGGAACTGTCATTCGTGTACTTTGTGTCCAACTGTCAGTTTTGTTTTCACCCTCTTCGACCCTGAGACGTGGCTTATCTTGAGGCTAAAGGGGTTAGCATCGGTGTTAGCCTGCCTGCTAATCCCCTAAACACTTGCCTTTGGCAGGTTGAACCGGTCCACTGGCGGAGTCAGAATGTTTAAAAACAACAATCTCAGCTGACCATTCAATGATAATCTCACCAATGTTCTCGGGACACGCCGTTGAACAAGTTCACGGCCGAACAAATGACTGAGTTTATCTGTGAAATTGTAAAACAGTCTGAGTCTATACTGCCTTGCGCAATACCCAGAGTCAATGTTTTGTTACAGTGGTATTGAACAACGTATTTGTCCAGTCACCGTTATACAGTCTTAGTCAGACTAATCGATGTAATGGTTCGAATTTTTTAAGTGTTTTTAACTGATGGATAATGGCCCAAAAATGGGAGTTGATTTCAAGGGTCATGCGTAAGATAAGACTGGACAGAATAAACTGTAGACTGTGAAACGTCTTCTTTTAGAAAATTCACGTCCAGTTGCCTAACTTTTTAAACTTGACCATGACCTGGATGACTGAGAATCTTCATAGACATGTAGACTGTTAGCATTTCTACCACAGGTTTACTACCTTTATATAATGACACAGTCATTTATACCTACAATGATTTCACCAGGCACTACATTAGCTTCTTTGAGCACCACGGTTAAAGTATCACACAGGATGATACCAGGATTTATAAATCACTTTGATTAAATTCATCAGTACTTGTTTGGGCACCTGAAGCTGTTTAGGGAGAAGGATGTAACATGTTATGAAAGAGCTCCTTACATGCACCAGTGGCTTCTTGAATCTCAATCTACAGTGTAGCTCAGATCACGACAGCTGACATCAACCACCGGACAAATGTTTTTGACTTTTGTATGTAACCACTGACTTAATTTAATCTGTTTGAACTGGATTGGCATCATTTTCTTAGATGCAAGTTTAAATACTGGTTAATATACTGTACACACAGACCTTAAAATTAAAAACTGAAAGAGTGAACGCAAGACTCTTTAATTAACAACAAGATTCTTATTGTTGTAATCCAGGCAGGAACTGATGACTGTGCGTCCGAGGCCCTTACTGGCTGATATGACTAATTCCATTTTAATTGGGTTGGATCAAAAATATATTTTTGAAAGCTCAATAATATGGTGGTTTCTTTTCTTTTTTAAATTAAATGCTGTCATCACCACATCTTAGTCAGTTCTATTAATATAATGCCACCAGCCGGATCTAGGGGTGGCTCCAGTCCACCATGTTGTTCCATACTGAGTCACTTCTCAAACCAGAGGACCACTTGTGGACTACTTCTTACCCACAGAGCTGGTAAATCTCTGCTTCAACCATCTGAGTCCTTCATTGCCCACCACTGAATATTTCCTCAGATCTTTTGTTGATGTTTGTCCCCCTAGTCAGAGGTGAAGCTGGGTTGACGATGTTCGTTTAGTGATGTCTTAGTCGCCTGAGTCAGAGGTGAAGCTGGGTTGTTAGGCCTCCTTTGACCATTTGGCCTGGAGTTTCTTTTTGTATTTTTATAGCTGTCCCAAAGTTAGGTGGCTTCTCATAATATTTATAGTCCTTGAAAATGTAGGTCACCGCCACCTGGCTGCAGCCACAGAAAATGTTTTTGTTCTATCATTACTTGTTTCTTGGCATGAATCTCTTCTTCACATTCTACACAGCATTAAAAGCATCTGGAGCTACAGCACAAATAATAATGGGCACAAATGTTCATTTCCCTTCTTTATTTAACACCATCTACTCACTTCATATCACCTTAACAAGCATACAGGAGAGAGGGTTTCTTCACAATCTCCTTAACGCCGCGACCACTTCCGTGCGCGGCTTCATTTATTATTTTTATTGTCCTGCTGTAAGGTGCAGCGTTCAGCTCTGTCTACTTTACATGCATTATTTATTCTTTTCCACCGTCCTGGCAGAGACTTCCAGTGAACTTCATCTGGTCTTGTTCTAGGTGGAGAAGGTGAAACACGCCACACTGTTCTCTCACAGTACCTACTGTAGGAGAGAATTCAAATGAACACGGGCGGATTATTAAACTTGGAAGTTGTGAGAGTGAACAGGTAGTACAGCAGTAGGCTGATCAGGAGGCGCCCTGAGCCTCATCAGTATGTAGGAGAACTGGTTTGTGGTGATTGTTGCATGTTAACGGAACTGTGGCTAATTTGTCAATCGTAGCCTATTTATTTCAAGGGTGTTTTTTTTATTGGTTTATTCTTTCACATTCTTACACAAGTGTTTCATCTTAGATTTGCAGCACACACACCAGATAGGCTAGTTTCCCTACGTCACACTCTGTAAGATGTGTGTTTCAGCAGCATTAGCGTCCGCACTGACAGGAAACGACTTGAGTTGAAGCGGTGTCATCACTCTTTTTTCGGTTTGCCATATGATCTGCCCAACTGGTGGAAGCCGATCTATCAGACAGTTGTCCAATCATGTGCCTTTCGTTGTAATGATGTCACCACAGAGTTGGGGCTGTTGTATGAAGCTGAATCTCAACTATTGTATTTACTCCAGTGTGTGAGCACCGGTACAGTAGGCTATGATCAGATACTACAAGATTATACAGGGGATTGTTTGCGCGACTGATTTAGACATTTTCTCTTGTGACACTGAGATGGGTTAATGCTGTGATTTATTTGCTCCTAAATCACTGGAGTTACAGTTAAGAACATACAGATCATATCGAGGTTATAAAAACACTGCAGGATACTAACATTTTTCCTGCACTTCAAGGACCATATTTTAAGCAATCTATTAAAAAAGAATTTAGCAATGCTACAACAAAAGCCTGGTACCTTCTCAAGCAGTGCTGCCCTTGGACTGATAATCTTCATTAACACATTAAAACAACATAACATCACTGTCTTTTTTCCTGAAAAGCCTTAACAACACTCATCGATTGTGTTAATATATTGTCTTTTGCAATGCCTGTAGTCGGGTGCATTAGGTTTGTACTGTAATATGGCTTTAGTAAATGAACAACATACGTAGGTGTAAAGGCATTATCAGAAGCGGAAAGTCGCTATGGTGAAAAATAGTCAAATAGGCTGCTTTTTCAGGCGTTAGGTTAGCTTCTAACTAACTCAGCCGTGTACGTACTGTAAGTGGAACAGGAAATGAAACTCAAATGATCTTATTTCTGGAGGAAAAGACTCAAAAAGCACTGCTGTAGACAAACATTGTATTTTCTAGCATGGGTAGGAAGAGCATATATGGTCACGTTTAATTTAGAGCACCTCCGCTGGGATATAAGGCAACTACAGACAGTCTAGGTGGGTTTTACCCATCGGGTTTGAACGTTCATCCTGTTTTTGAACTGTTTTTTAAACTTCTGAAGTGACATCTTCATCAGGCTCCCCTGTGACATTAGAACGTTAACAAGTCGCTTCAGGGAAATGTCAACAAGTTTCCTCAATCTGGACGATGCATACCCGCCACAGTAAACTTACTTTGGCTGCTTGTGGAAACAGTTTGTACTTGCAGTGTATTTATACACACCGTCCTTCTGCTTACGCCCACAGTCGGTGTTGATGGTGTCAACATTGCACCTTATCCTTTGCACCATACGACGCACGTCTCCTTGACTTTATCAGCGACCAGTCTTAACAGACCTTTGATTTCAGAGGTTGGCTCTTTCATGATTCTTGTCTGGCTTAAATGTTTGCACGAATCACTGAACTAAATTTGACAGGAAATGCAATTGAAATCCTTTTGTGCCTAATTGGCAACAGGATCATTACAAGAGCGATTAACCAGGCGTCGTGGCTCAGAGTGGTGACTCAGGGTTCTGACGGTGCGCTGATAACATGGTGTTTGTGTGTCTGCATCAACAAGACATTGGCCTGGAGCCAGTCACTTCAATATCCTATTACACTTGGTGTCAAACAGAAACACAGATGGATGAAGGAACTCCCAACACATCCTGACACATTCGGTCACGTCGGCCTTCGCTCTGATCGGTGAGATGAAAGATTTTCTCATGCTCCGGTGGTGAAGGTCAGACTAAGCTACAGAGCAGTGACCTGAATGGAGAATTTGAAGAATGAAAATGATACGTTCTCTAAACCAAGAGTGCTGAAACAGAAATCGTGTTTCTTTTTCTCACTTTCACATTTCTCTCCTTCCCCCAAAAACTGGATTAACTCTTCGATGTTCTTGTATCTACCTGATTACAATGTTGTCCTCTTGTCTGTATATTTGACATCTATTAAGAACTATAATTTAATAATACCTTACCATCTCATGATAAACTAATTAACCAAAAGGAATTCAACAACAAACAAACATGCATTGACATAAGCCAATGCATTGAAAAAACAAAAATATATTTATATGTATTTGAGACTTGATCCATACAGAAGTACTGGCTACCTCTGCAGATTGATGTGATTCAAATTGTATCATTTTTTTGCAAAAAAAAAAAACTCAGGTAGACTAAAATATACAATTTGAAAGCACCATTAGGTAGATTAAAATATACAATTTGAAAGCACCCAGGCAAAAATGTTGGGCTGTATAGAAAAGTTTCTTTCAGTCTTTCTTGCAGTACCACTGATGGGTGCCAGGGGTTCAATAATATAGTTCAATATAAAATACCAACTTCCTCTACTGAGTCATTTTAGTGTCTTTCAACCAGTACTAATCAGTGCTGGATTAGTACCGCGCAGACATACAGTATAGAATAGTCTTTATTGTCATTGTAACACAGGGGTACAACAAAATTGAGGAGAAAAACCACACTATTATATAGGCTTCTTTTGGTAGCAAATTTAATGAAGGCACGGACGGGATTCGAACCCATGATTTTCAGTTTACGAGACTGACGCCTTACCACTTGGCCACCGCGCCCTGTGTTATTGACCCTTGTATTCTAAAGCAATGCTTCCCATCCAGGAAAAGCTTATTATATTTCATTACATATACATTTGGTGAGATTTTAGTTTGGTGGTGTGTCGTGGGGGTTTTCCTGATGATATATATATATGTGCCGTACTTCAAAAAAGTTTGGGAACCACTGTTCTAAAGAATAGGACTATGTTCTGCTCTTCTCGTCATTGCCATGTTTTTGACTCTGTTGAGGACGAACTCTATTATTCTGTGTTGCTGCTCCCCACGGGTGGGAAGGCTATTAAAGCATGACTCACGAGTGGTGAGTGCCTTACCGTGGGTGTCTAATCACCACTAAGCTGTGAAATATTTGCGTGTGTGTGTGTGTGTGAGGCTCACGGACTCAATGTTAAAGGTTTCCCCCCAGGCCTTGGCATCAACTGTGTAACCAAGGTCTTCTATTGTTTTCTCCTCACACTAACCTTTTCACCGTCTCCTTAGCGTTATAAATATTCCAGGTCTGACTGCTCCGTGACAGGCTGCCAGCGTGGTCATGGGTTGTTGTCCCTGTTGATGTAGTGGAGGTGTTTAGTTGGAGTCGGTGTTTGTAGGCCAGAGAGTAAGTCGAGAGATCGCTCTGGGTGATAAGTGTGGTGTTGTCAAAGCTTTTTAAAACCTGTTTTGTTTTTTTTCTCTGCGGCCCAACTTATATTTCCACTACACTTTTTAACAAACTGAAGGACCAATACGGGTTCTATCAGTGTGTACTTATTATAAATCAGAATCACAGAATAACAGACAACAAAACTAAGGTTGAATTATTTCCATTAAAATAGTCATTAAAAAAAACATTCACACAGATTTCACAAAATTGTACCAGACTTTGTCGATATGAAAAACTTGCAGCATTAAATGATAGAAATCAGGCTTGAATTATAATATATTTTGCTAAGACAAAATGAAGAAAATTAGAGCCGTAATCAACCCACGTTTTTGTGAAATGCTGTTTTTAAGCTGTTATTGTTTTCATTTTGGTACTAATTTTATACAAGATAAGCAATTTACCTTTTCATGTAAGTTCCTTAACCAATAACCTTACAAAAAGTAACAGACTTACCCACGGAGCATCTCTTCAAAGGTTCAGTTCAACGTGACTAACTTTTAGTAAAAGTAAGGATGTGAGCTGGACAACAAATACATAGTGGAAATTATGGGAAACATAATTAAAATTCTTAGGAAACGCAGCCGACGTGGGCTCCCACGTATCCTTTTCCCACCAGCATAATAATTACACTCAGATTAATTCCTGAGGTACCCAGAGATTTCCTCTCCTACTGTGATTAATAAACTCATCCGATGTCTACGGCCCATCCCTCTCACTCGGTAACACTGCTGCTGGTTGTAAAGATGATTCAAAACTACCATTGAGACAACGATAAATGTTTGATTTTATGAACAAAGACCCGAGAGACTCCCTCCATTTTTATGTGTTTTTATGTGTACACATTACGCAACAAGATGGTATAATGTTTCAAACACTGTATATGCAATCCTTATCAGGAGTCCTATAAAGCTGACCTTGTACATTTAAAAAGTCAATTCCATGCTATTGAATGAGTCAATATTGAACTACAGCTCAGTATGCTGTGATGATGTTGTTCTCCAAGTACACACAGACTGATTTTATTATCTAATTGTCTTAATCTGACTGACAGAGAATTGACCCGCTTGTGTCTGTACTCATTACTTGGCTTCTTGTCTATTCAGTGATGCTGACTTTATTTAGAAGAGTTGGTTTCTCCGGAGTCATCGCAATGTGCTGTCGGTGACTCGGAATGTGGCCCTGAAGGATTTAGAGGCTCATTTAAATGCCATCATGTCGAGTGTGCTGCTAAGTCAGAGCAGCAGAGGCAGGAAAGAATGTGGTAGCATCCTGACTCTGCTATATTTCTTAAAGTCGTTCACTGTTTAACATAACATAAAGAGATGTTACCCACAGTTAAATTCTTTGCCCTAGCTTAAACGGACAACAGCTACGACTAGATGGGATAGATTGTCTTCTTCCTTCATTTTGTGTAGGGTTTATTTGAGTCACTCTTCTCAGTCTCTTCTTATTACGTCATCAGTCTGCAACGAGAAGTCAGTGTCAGCGTCTACAGGGAAACATATTTATTATCCAAGAGTTGCTTAGAAGGAACTTGTGGAGAAGTCAGTGTCACCTTCTACAGGGAAACACATTTATAAGAGTTGCTTAGAAGGAACTTGTGGAGTACAGCCTGTAATGGGTTCTGATCCTAGTATTTTGGAGAATCTTACTGTGACCAAAGTCAAAGTGCACTTCATGAACCTCTTGGTGAAACTGGCATCGACTGTTCTGCAAGTTGCAAAACAATCTCAAAATGAGGATGTTCACGTGATGGAACAGATTTAAGATTTACACCTGTTCATTTTGGTGAAAGACTTATTAAACAACCTTCTTTTCTTGGATGAAAAGTTTTGTGGGACTAAATGACGATGACGGAATTTATTGACGCATTAGTCAATGAAAAAAACTAGATGAAAAATCTGGCAAAAACTCCAATCAGAGCTATGGTTGTTGGCCAGAAGGCGGGACATGTACACAGAGATCTAACCTTAGAAAATATGTGTGCAGCAGTAATAGATGACAACATGGAAAAATAATTAATAACTACAATTCACACAGTTCCATCGACTAAATCGTGACTAAGAGTTACAATTTAGTCTAAAGACGAAAACCAACTAAATCGATAGTCAAATAAACACGTTCCCCCACTAATCCCATGTAGTACAACTTTATGGGTTGAGAAGCAAGAAACCACAGTTGTGGGCCTAAATGTATGGTATTTTATCCAGCCTTATAATTAAGATGCGAAAAGCTGAATTCTAAGGATTTGTGGAGAGGAATTACAGGCATGGATTTTAATGTCGAGCAGCTAATTTTGTGTTGGACAGGCAGCCTGGCCCCTCTGCAGCCATTGGCTTGTCCTAATCTCTTTATGGGTCTGAAACGGTCTGGTGAGTCCAGTCTTGCTGACTGGAATAATGACTGAAGTCGAGGGAGGAGAAATAAAAGAGATAGATGACAGTGGTGTGAACTTAATACCCTCTGTGTTTTGCTGATGTTCCGGCTAATAATTAAGATCTCCCTCTGTGTATTGGCCTCACCATTAGACTGCTGATCAACAGCATATGGTTTGATAATAGCCATGCCTTATTTATGACTTAGGAAGAAGCACAGAGGAAGGAAGACGTGGATCAGCGGAGGCCAAGGACTCAGATAAGGAGCTGGTAGAGAGTGAGTGAAGTTGGCCGGTGAGCTGGGTGATACTTGATCAGCACCGGGGATGAATATTTCACTTGGTCACAAGACTGAGATGCCGCAGCAACAATTTCCAACTCGGACAGTTGCAAAAAAACAAACAATAAACGGACTGGACATGTGTCCCTAAGTGACTTTGCACATTGAAATATTTGTGTTTCCTGAAGGAGAAGGTGTTTGGTGTCGTACCCCGTGTTGGACCAAGTGTGTCCGGTGTGTGCATGTCTTTGAATAATTTATAGCCATGTTGAATTAAAGACCCGTCCATCTCTGTCTGGGGCAGAAGTGAGTATAAAGAAACTGTCATATAACAGGCCTAAATAATTCAAACTGTTGGTGTTAAAAGGTAACTTAATCAAGTAGGAACACTGTTATGAATCACATTTATAGAGTATTCACCTTAAAAGGTTGGTCCAGATCCAAATGTTTTGTCTCATCGTACAGTAAGCCATCTTACCATTACATTGATAATGCAGTATGTTGTGAGGTGTGACCCTAAGAATTCACCAGAGTAAGAAATGGTGATGATGGCTTCGTTTTGGTAAAGGCACCATTGTCAATGCCAACTGTTTTCCTCGTCACTGTACGGTCTGTGGCAGACATAATGGATGACCTGAGACAGGATCATGTATTTAAAGGATTATGGCCTGCAGTCATGATGCAGTGTCATGTTTATGATTTGAGCATGACTTAACAGCAGTGTTTCCAACAAGAAACCGACTTTAACGAGAAGTGATTTTGCCTTTTAAGGAAAACAAGGCTAAATGTATCTCCATATATTTGCGCAAACAACAATAGTTCCTGTCATTACTTTATTTTCAAAAATATCATCCACTTTGCTCTACAATTATAAACAAAGAGGAACACATTTTAAAGGAACACTCCCAACAGTTTTGCTAAGGCTACAGTATGCATTGGAGGAAGCTGGAAATTACCTGCTGTCAAAAAAGTCTTAGCAAAAACAGTGATAAATTCATTGTCAACAGCAAAATAATTTAATGGACAAAAATCCTACATATGCTTCAATAAACATAATGCTCGTACCATTTTAGTAACACAATCTGTGGCCTGGATTATTAGTGCTTCCTGCCACTGAGTTTTGTGCTCCTAAAATCTGTGGACTGTAGCAGTCTGTGCTCTTGGTGAAAAAACGTTCCTTTTTCCATCCCTGCAGCTACCGCAGTAACTGAAGTGTGACGTTAATTGGCAGTTACTCTCTGTTTCTTTAACATAGCCCTGAGTCGGTGTAGGTCAGAATCTTCATGACAGGATGACACAACACGACACAATTCATTCACTGTGATCATCGTCGGTGAATCATCTTCTCTTTCATGGCGCATTCCTGTTGTGGTTATGCAGATTCTGCACAAACCGCCCGAGTGAGGAACTCTGCAGAGCCACTGAAAGGATGCCTTGTTACGTCTCCGCGGCACAGAATCGGGCCGTGCACTGTGTCTGTGATATATTTATGGCTCTTAGACGACACCAAGTACGATTGTTCAGCCAAACCACAGCTGCAGACTCTAGTCACAGTGTTGCATCAGTGTTAGTAGGTCAGTGAAAAATACCACAGCTGCTGTCAGCAGGTTGACGACCAGGTCCCAGCGTCGGTGCTGGATGTCGACCAGAATCCTAAACACAGGGTTAGACTGTGAAACTAACATA